GAGACAAAGTATATGTGAACTGCTGTATGAAAAGTGAATTTACTCTGTAAATCTTCACCCAAATCCTAATAAAAAAAAAAATCATCTATTTTCAATTGATGGATTAACCAAGGTGAAAATGAAATAACAACTGGAAAGGGTGGTAGAGTTCTGTTTTCCCAATATTGTGGAATTTCGCCCCAGTTTTCAGTGTCTTGTGGCGATAGTATCCCATTAGGCCCACTGAGACTTGTGAGCTCCTCAGTCCGTCAGACCTACCTGGGGAGCGGTCACTTACCGCGAGCTCAGCGAGCTTCTCCGGCCTACCGGCGAGAAGAGCACTGGGGAGCTCACTGCAGATCCCAGGGCCAGTCCCTTCCTGCTTGCCGCGCGGGGCGTGGAGCCGTGCCCGATCCCACCGAGCGGGCACCTTCGGGACCCAGGACCCGGAGTTCGAGGGGAAGGGACTGCTGGGAACATGCTGCGAAGAAGCGGCAGCGGGTAACTCAAGCGCCCCGGGTTGTACCACTCAACGGCGGTGCGCTTAGCTTGAACACCGCGGGGCAACAGGACGCGGAATGATGACGTCGGGGCGAAGCGCTGAGCCTGCGGCCGTGGTGGGAGGAGCCTGGGCCGGGGGAGTTGCCCTCAGTGACACCTAATCATATCGCGGAGCTCGCGAGGCGTGGTCGGTGCGAAGGTCTGTGGATAAGGCGGGATGGGGGTGGTGGTCTTCAATGACTTTTAGGCTCATCGCTTATCCCGCAGGGCGTAGTCCGAGCGGCAACCCTGGAAGCACCAGTTTAGGCCTTGCTGCCAGAGTGTGCTAGGCCAGTGTGGTTGGAGTCTGTATCTTCTGGGAAAGAAACTGGAAAACCAGGCGGCCTTCCCATCTCCGGCAGCGGTAGCACCAACCCTCTTTATACACTGGTGGTTCCTGAGTCCCTTGGGAAGTTAAGTGTGCAATCATCCAAGCTGAGAGGGGGGACATGTAAAGCTGAATGGTTTCACACTCAGTGTTATATTCGTTCTTCTCCATTCTTGTCATTTTCCCTCATTCAAATCTGAACAATGTATCTAATCCACTACAATGACATTACAAGTCCATGTCTCTAAACCAGATCCTACTGAAAAAAAAAAAAAAAAAAATCCAGACCTCCAGCAGCTTCCTAACGTTCTTTTCACCTGAGTGTCCTGCAAACTCTCACAATCCACGTGTTAAAACAGAATGCTTGTTTCCTTTAGGACTTCATGCTCTATCACCTAGGGTCTAACTTGGTAAACTGGCTAGTTGCCCTAGGCAAAAACAAAGACGCACCAGCTTGGTACACTGTTGTTGTTGTTATGCGCTGTCATGCCGGACCTGACTCATAGGGACCCCTCCTTGAGTTTCCTAGGCAATATCACTATGGAAATAGATTGCCCCATCTTCCTTCCGAGGAGTGGAACCGCCAGCCTTTTGGTTAGCAGTCATAACCAAATAGTTTGATCTCAAACATCTGCACTGCCTCTTCCTTGATTCAGGTACTTACCTCATCCCTTGTTGTTGTTGTTATTTGCCATCCAGTCGGCCCCGACTCCTAGCGACCCCTTCTTAGGTTTCCGAGGCAGTTATTACTACGGAAGTAGGACTGCCCAACCTTCCTAGACCACTGCAATAACCCTTTTTTTTTTTACCCTGTTTGGCCTTCCTCCACTCCATCCTCCACACTGCCAACATAATAACTAAAGTAATGTTGCTTGATGTTGCTCTTCACCTTGTAAATACTGACCATTGCCCACAGGTTATTTGTTATAATCCTTTGCAAAATCCTTTGTAATTTAACTATGGCTGGCATGTCTGACTCTACTTCCACCACTTCTCACTTCCAGTCCACATTCTAACAGTGGAAAAAAAAAAAAAAAAAAAAACCTAGAGTCTCCATTTCACCCCTTCAATGTCTTTGCACATTTTCTTTTTTACCTCTAAGAATGCCCTTCCTCCGTTGCTTGCCTCTGTTGGCCAAGCAAGCGTGCATTTCAACTTAGTGCTACCTCCTCTTTGAAGCTTTCCACAGTTAAGTGTCCCTTTATCCTTTACCCCCTCTGCTCCTGTACATCCAAACATAAAAACCAAATCCACTGCTATTGAGTTGATTTGGATTCATAGTGACCCCCTTTGGGTTTCCAAGTCTTTAAATATTTACAGAAGTAGATTGCCTCATCTTCCTCCCACAGAGCAGCTGGTGAGTTTGAACCCTCAACCTTCTGGTTAGGAGCCAAATGCTTTATCCAAAATGCCACTACAGCTCCTTTGCTCATACAGAATTTATAATGTTTTATCCTGCATAATGGTTTAATGTTTTCATAATTGTCTCTCAAGTAGCTTCTTGTGTCTTAAAAGCAAGGATGGTACACGTCATGAAAGGGCTGTAGTAGACCTTCATTAATATATTTGCTGAAATAAAGGAACAATTAAGTAAACGCTGTCATAGTTGAAGATTTTTACCAACTTTTGCAGTCTGAAATTGACCATATGCAATCAAGATGTACTGATTATTACTGATGATTAGAATCCAAAAGGTGGAAACAAAAAACAATGACCAGTAGTTAGAAAATTTGGCTTTGATGATAGAATTGGTGCCAGAGATCACATGATATATTTTTGCAAGCTGAACAACTTATTCATTGCAAAAACTTTTTTTGATAACATAGGTGATGGCTATACATGTGGACCTTGCCAGGTGGAATACACAGGAATCAGATCAACTACATCTGTGGAAACAGGCAATGGAGAAGCTCAATATCTTCAGCTAAAACAAGGCCAGGAGCTGACTGGGCTACAGACTATCAATTGCTTATATGAAAACTCAACTTGAAGCTAAAGACAATTAAAACAAGTCCAAAACCAGGCTGAATGAGCAGGTATATCTATCCAGGGGAGAGTATGCCTATGACTATATATAGGGTTTGCAGACAATGTTTTTGCAAGTATAGTTGTATGTTCTATAAGAATGTCCAGGTATATAGTAGAGCTGACAAGAGGCAAGGTTGTAGTCACTTCTTGGCCACAGCCAGCTACCCAGAGGGAGCAAGTAGTTGGACCTGTGAGCTCGAGACCATGGTTGCAGGGGACATCAAGCTCAATTGGCATAACTTACTATACAAAAACTTACTATACATTACTATACATAACTTACTATACATTGTTCCACATTCTACTTTGGTGAGTAGTGACTGGGATCTTAAAAGCTTCCAAGCGACCATCTAGATGCAACGATGAGTCTCTGCTCATCCAGAGCAAAGAAGAATGAAGAAAACCAAAGACACGTGGAAACAATTACCCCAAGTGACTGGTACACCATGTGATCCTCAACCTATATGACTATGAGACCAGAAAAACTAGATAGTGCCTGGCTACCACTGTCAACCACTCAGAGGGGATCTCTGTAGGACATCCTGGATAGAGTGGGAGAACGATATGGAACAAAACTCAAAATCATTACAAAAAAAAAAAAAAAAGGGACAAGGTTTGCTGCTCTAATAGAGACTGATGGAACCACTGAGACTCTGGCCCCTAGCTGCCCTTCAGGTCTGGAATTGAACCCACCCTTTTGGCTTACAGCCACACTCCAGTCGGGAGACAGGAGTGCATGAGAAGGAAGGACACAGGGAAGAGGTAACTATGGGGATGAAGTGGGAAGAGAGTTGTTGCATTGTGGGAAATTGTAGTCAATGTCATGAGATGAAGTATATGTGGACTGCTGTATAGAAAATGAATTTGCTCTGTAAACTTTCACCCAAATCACAATGGGGGGGGGGGAAAACATAGGAGTGAAGAGATACCAAAGGAAAGGTAGCAAAAATAAATTTTTAAAAAAAGTCCAAATCAAAAGCCAAGCCAAATTTACTGCCATCAAGTCGATTCTGACCCATAGCAACCCCTTTTGGGTTTCCAAGGCAGTAAATCTGACTTTGATTATATCCCACCTGAATTTAGAGACCATCTAAAGATTAGATTTGACAGCTTGAACACCAATGACTGAAAACCAGACAAATTTGGGGATGACATCAAGAACATCATACACAAAGAAAGCAAATGGTCATTAAAAATGCACAAAAGGAAGAAAAGATCAAAAGGAATGTCAGAAGAGGCTCTGAAACTTGCTTTTGAATAGAAAGTACCTAAAGCAAAAGGAAGAAATTACAAGATAAAACAGCTGAACAGAAGATTTCAAAGAGCAGCTCAGGAAGACAGAGTCTATTATAATGAAATGTGCAAAGACTTGGAGTTAGAAAACCAAAAGAGAAGAACACACTCAGTTTTCTCAAGCTGAAAAAACTGAAAGATTGAGGAAAATATTCAAGCCTCAAATTGCAATATTGAAAGATTCTATGGTCAAGATATTGAATGGTGCAGGAAACATCAAAAGAAGATGGAATACACAGAGTCACTGTACCAAAAAGGATTGATCAATGTTCATCTATTTCAGGACATGGCATATGATCAAGAATCAATGGTATTGAAGAAAAAAGTCAAAGCTGCACTGAAGGAATTGGTGAAAAACAAGGCTGCAGGAATAGATGGAGTACCCACTGAGATGTTTCAGCAAATGGATGCTCTACTGGAGGTATTTACTTCCAAGAGACTTGGGAGATAATTACCTGGCCAGTTGACTGGAAGAGATTCATATTTGTACCCATTCCAAAGAAAGATGATCCCACAGAATGTGGAAATTATAGAACAATATCATTAATATCTCATGCAAGTAAGCTTTTGCTGAAGACAATTCAAAAACTGTTGCAGTAGTATTTTGGCAGGGAACTTCCAGAAATGCAAGCTGGATTCAGAAGAGGAAGTGGAACAAGGGGTATCACTGCTAATGTCCGATGGATCTTGGCTGAAAGCAAAGAATACCAGAAAGATGTTTGCTTGTATTTTTATTGACTAGGCAAAAGCATTTGAATGTGTAGATCATAACAAATTATGTATAACATTGAGAAGCATGGGAATTCCAGGACACTTAATTGTGCTCATGAGGAACCTGTACATAGACCAGGAGGCTGTTGTTCGAACAGAACAAAGGGATACTGCATGGTTTAAAAGCAGGAAGGGTGTACGTCAGTATTGTATCCTTTGACCATACTTATTTAATCTGTATGCTGAGCACATAATCTGAGATGCTGGACTAAATGAAGAAGAACGTGTCATCAGGATTGGAGGAAGACTCATTAACAACCTGTGCTATGCAGATGGCACAACCTTGCTTGCTGAAAGTGACGATGACTTGAAGCACTTACTGATGCAGATTAAAGACTTCAGTCTGTACTGTGGATAACACCTCAACATAAAGAAAACAAAAATCCTCACAATTAGACCAATAAGTGGCAACACAATAAACAGAAAAAGATTGAAGTTGTTAAAGATTTCGTATTACTTGGTTCCACAATCAGCACCAAAGGAAGCAGCAACCAAGAAATCAGATGATGTATTGAACTGG